GAGGTCAGGCTGTCAGTCGATCGGTCGAGGTGAGGTGGGCGATCGATCGGCTGATCTCCCAACCCTCACGGAACGTTGAACATGTTTAAACCGAGGAATTTATAGTTGTAATGATTGCCAATGACTGTTTTGTTAGCCATTGACCACATGCCTTTCGTTGATTCATTCAAATTTGACCCGACGGTGAGATGAGACGTTGATCTAACCTGGTTAGGTTAGTCGACCAACAACATCGCCCCATCTGTGTTTATTCGCTTAAATTAACAAATCAACATCCTAAGATCCTGCGGGATGTTACCAATGAGTAGGAAAAGGTAATTGAGAGTCTTGACAACATCACATTCGTATTTGCAACGTTTTGGGAGATCAGCCGGTCGATCGACTTGTGCTAGTGGCCGCTAGGGGCGCTAAGCGCGTGAAAATGTGGCCAACCTCACGCGCAAAATCCGACATTTTGACAGAGCGATTTCTCCTGAAAGCTACATTTCACAAAACAAAATCTTGGAACTATGACGAATTTGATAAAGATGAAATAGATTTAATGGAGGTCTACCTGCTTCGTCATTTTCACATGTAATCTGTTTTTGTGATATTTGATGTTGACTCCCTGACTGTAATGACACGTCGACACGTCAACTTGACCTTTGTCGAAACAGCGCTGGGTCCATGCCGCTGAGGCGTTCCCACTGCACTGAACCCCCCCCCCCCCCCCCCCCCCCGTCAACTTGACCAAGAACACTTGACGTCAACATCCAGTTTTTCTGCTGGTGCTGCTGGATTGTCATCTCACCTGTCGACAGAATCCTTTGTTTATTCATTATTCATTAAACTGTATCGTGCAAAGGCAGATATTATCCTTGATCTGAGTTTCGGCAGTGACTTCTGTCGAAGAAATGGCCAGCCCAGATGAAGTGTCCGGGAGCGCACTGACATTTGAGGTAGTTGCTATGTGGGGTTAAGACCTAAATCCATGGTACAGAAAAACAACAAACAATCAATGCCCGAAATGCGTTTCTCTTAACACTTCTTATGATTTAGGAATTTGACTCATCACGCATTAAAGTGGAGGCTGATACTTTTCCTGAAATTGAAGAAAACGCGAATCCATCAGACGTTTCATCATCAGAGTCTAAGGAGGGCTTGCTGACTTCTGCACAAGGACCGAGTTCTGGATTCCACTCGAAACACTTCTCTGTCACTGTCTCGGATGGTGAAACTATTTTCAAGTGCAAAAATCCTTCAGTTTGTTGCATTGGTACAATGGCGAAGGTATTAATAATACATCTTTGTGTTGTGTAAGCACCTTCATCTCTTTGGTCACAAACTTTAAAAAGAAAACATTTATGTCTGTTACTAGATTTTGGAGAGCAATCCCCCACCTCAATTCATTACCCGTGCTCGACTGATGGAGGATAGACGTTATTCTATCCGCACCCATATTGCCCGGCTTCGTGACCTGTTGGAGGAATATTCTGCCATGGCAGCAAATAGAAAGTCCGTGAACTGTGCCCATCATCAAGTTGCACCTAAGATGATATACTGCAATGCTCGTACATGTCGACAGATTTTCACTGGCTCAGGAACTCACCTTTTGGAGCTACTGAATCATATATCATCCAGCCATGAAGCAGATGCCAAGGAACTTATTCTCAAAATGATGAAGAGATTCAGACAGACCTTGACACGTATGGGAGAGATGGTACATGAGGATAAAAAGTTTATAGCCCAGCGCTTTGTTTGAGTCATACGTGGTGTGATAGAGAATGAGTTTGTGGTTTCAACACCGGCTCAAATAGTCATGTAATCCGCACATTAGAATCTCATTTCTGGCACTAGATTGGATTATAAGTTGCTTTGCGGTGGAGTAATGTCTTTTTTATAACCCTCCCTTCTGCTTTGAAAAAGCAATTATGGGTGCCTGTTGAAACGACCCCATGTCTGTGTGTAGCTGAAATTACTGGACAACCATGAATTATACCCGCTGGTCTGTTGTCTCGAATGCTGTTGGGCTGTTGTCAGTTATGTTTGAGCCATCACAGGCCAAGCTGGGCCCGGCCCCTCCCTGCCGAACGGAGTTGCCTCCGGAGCGAAGTGTCCGTAAAGAAAATTGTAACGAGGGTACTAACCGAGCTATGGCCAAATTTTCTGTAGCTGAGCCGGTGAGTGTATACGTACCTGATACAGTGCGACGGGTTTGAGCGGGCCAAAGGCCATCTACATTATTTCATTATGTTCTTCAGTAAATCGCGTGACTGAAATGGTCGGACCGCATGGCCTGACCATCGCCGCCGGCAGGCCAAGCAGGCCCGGCCGCTGCCGGACGGAGGTGCCGGCGCAGCGAAGCGGAGCTGGCAACTCCGTTTGGCGGAAGGGCGGGCCTGCTTGTTCTCTGATTCATTCGGCTAATTACGGGAGCTCGGCGCCTGCAAGACTCGGGGTAGGCCAACCCGCAGTACACGCATGCACTGTGGGCGAGATGTTGCCTACCTACCAGGCGCTATGAGAGCTGCTTGCACCAGTTTCGTACGGCGAATGACGGGCGTACTTTCTGGATGGTCCCTTAGACCCCGTGCCCCCTACAAGAGGCGTTCCATGCCTAGCGCACGAGCCGTTTGCGCGCCTCGACTTTGTTTCTTGTGGCACCGCGCCTTTTGTAATGTCCCGTAGGCCATTCCAAATAAAAAACGTTTTCGAGGTAACAGTTTCAAAGTGATTCCTTTGTGTAATAATGACGATGTGCAAAATTTGGGCGCTCTGCGACAACGTTTAAGGGTCGCGCAAGGGACTTAGAGAAATGTGGTTCTAGCGCCGCAAAACCAGGACGCTCTGTTTGAGGCCGCGCCAGGAGTGGTTGACGGGGCGGATCGAAGTGAGTCTGTGTGATGGCAATACCTGTAGGCACAACCTTCATTTGGAAAAGAGAAGGCTATGAGCGGAGTTACTGTCCAGTCACCAGGGGCCTAAGCGTCACAAGACACGGCACTCGGGACTAAGAGACGACGGGTGGGAAAAGTGGAGTCCTTAGGACACGGAACACGCTCCTATAGGAGTCACTTTGTGCTACTTGTGCCCCACAGACTGCACATAACAACAGAAACGATCATGGCTGTTGTAAAAATACTCTATACACGCCTGTCGGGTAGGCAAACCACAGACAGGCGTGTTGTGCGGGCAGTCGAAATCGCATAACTACAGGCGCAATTCGTCATTTGTCGTCTTTTTTTAGAGATCGGTTTTAATGTTTTGTGCATTCTATAGGGCACGGCTAGAGCTAAGTGCCTCCTATCACAGCATGGCATAGGAACTATCAATTTTCCACCCATCTTCCATCCGTCGCGAGTGCCGTGTAGTATTTGGGCGTTTAGGCGTCACGGATCAAACTTCTACGGTGCTCTGGTGAAAGAAGACAAAATTTACGATGGAACTGACTACTAGTGAGGCCGATCGGCCACCAAAGAAGGTTCGATAAAAGCGTTTTGTTGTTGTGGTGTTGGGAGCGACAAACATACCCTAACAAACAATCACTGTTTACAAACCTTCTTTGGTGGCCGATCAGCCTCACTAGTAGTCAGTGCAATCGAAAACTTAGTCTTCTTTTGTCAGAGCACCTGAGAAGTTTGATCCTAGACGAAATCGCGTAGAATTTTTGATAATGCGAGATGCGTGCACGAGCCGGTCGGGATTCGGCGAGCTTCAACTTATGTTTTCACTTACTTCAGACTTGCAAAACGTGTTCGCAGGCACACTGGCAAATAGCTGGATTCCTCTCCTTTCGATTTATCACTGGTTATCATATATTTAAAGACGAATTGATAGAATATTGTTGAGTTTTGTGAAGCGCCGTAGTCGGGCGGTCGCGCAGCTCGGCTCGGCCGCGGCGGCTCGGGTCGGTGGTGGGGGGATGGCTCTCGCTACCGCATGGGGTCCATGGGGTCACTCCGAAGTGCCGCGTTGCCAGCCCCTGTTCTCGGCCGGCAGGCGCCGATTGGGCCGCCGGCTCGACAGCGCTGCTGCTTGGTCGGCCTACCCGTCCGGCGCTAGAGAGATATCATCCAATTCGATTCTTACGGAACGCTGGCCACGCCTCTAACCAGGGTACCTCTCATAGTTCACCGCATAATTTCGATGTCCAGTAGCAGGCGCCGCCGGCGGGCCCACTCGACAGCACCGCTGTGCGGGCTGGCCTACCCGCCCGGCGCTCGCCGACGTCGTGGCTTTTGCCTTCAGCCAACTGGATGTGTCGCCCGATATTGTGAAGGCGGTTCACTTCTACTGGAACCCCCCTCTGTCGGTCTCAGACAACCGTCCGAAAGGTGGGCAACTTGAGCTACAAAACACCCTCTACCTGTCGGCCGATCCTTACTCCGGCCCTGCACTCCCTCGCCTGCCCGCCCACAGGCCGCGGGTCGAGGGGTGGGGGGGTTGTGGCACTGGATCATCTGGACGACTGAATGGGACGCGGCAAAAAAGCGAGTTGAGCGAGTTGCTGCGTGAGGTCACCGGCCACGCGACATGCTGGAGTGGACCCACTACTGCTGGAGCCTCTGTAAAACACTGCTCCAGTCGCCCGCTCCCACTGCGGGCCAGGCGACACCCGCGTGGGGGCGGTGGGGGGACTATCGCCCCGGGAGATTTTTAGTTCGCGCTAGAAGCTGCAGCTGCATATTACCAGCTTCGTATACGGTTTCCTTACTGATTCCCCAGATTAGCTGAGGGCTCCACGACGCCACTTCTCCATGACGTATTTCGACCCGGCTAAGAAATTTGGGGGGGGGGGGTACAAGTTATGAAATAGCAATGCTGTTACCGGCTGTGACTATTCGTCAGTTCTTTGCCTAGTTTCTTCTTCTTCCCAGCCACACACAAAATAGTTGAACTGCATCTAATATCGACATTTGTCAAAGCATTGGCAGGGGGTCAATTCGAGTTTTCAATTTTTTAGAGTAAAATTAAGAGGCGGAGGGTGGCGAGTCTACTTGACTCGTTTTTCATTCGGCCATAAATTGTTGCGTAAAATGATTTGCAGCACTGTGGTAACGAAACGCTCGCTCTCGGACAGTAACAGCGAGTTTTGTATAGTGTTAATAGTGTTGTTATACCAGATGGTTGATTATACCCGCTTTTTCCTGTAGTTTTGCTGTGCCATACGCACGAGTGCGGGCGGGTTGCCGACTCGCTCGGCTCGTAAGGCGCCGTGGACAAGTGGCGATAGGCAAGCTCGCCCGCACTCGTGACTCGTGCGTGCAGTACAGCAAAGTACAGAAGTGAACGGGGTAAATCAGGCCACCGCGTACATTGCTTCAGCAAAGCGTTTCATTGAAACTGCGGATGCACGTAGGCGTTCACACACACAAAATCCTTATGCTTTGTGTCGTGCATAAACATGCATAATTTTAGCAGCCATAATTTACGATTTCTACAGATTTTGCCAGAACTGTGTGCATCCATATGGCTGCTTAGAATTCTGCCTGTTTATGCATATTAAAATGTATTGGGGATTAATTAGTGTGCACTGCATATCTGGGCGCTTCAGGACTGTCCCCATCGTTTCCTGTCCACGCTATTCCAGGAAAGGTTTCTGCCGTAACACTGAGCTTAAATGTCGACAGTAAAAATAAAATCTAAAATGTTTTCCTTTACAGGTAGTACAGGTACTTCTGACGGATACAGTACCACCATGCTGACTCAATGCGACGTTTACGGCAAGAAAGCTGCAAATCTCGACATTCACATGAGAACCCACAGTAGTGGCAGCTCCCCCCCACTCCTCCGCCACCCGCATCGCGCCTGCAGCCCCTGCTGCCAGTGCATAGGCAACCCAACGTACTGGCATGTAAGAGCCGGGACACCCGGTATGTGGTGAGAGTGCGACAAAGGTGTATGCCCGGAGTGCGACTCAAGTCGCACTGTTTTCTGTAGCATACACCTTTGTCGCCCTCTCCTGGTACGTCTTTGAAATTACAGTGTACCCACGGTGTAGAGAGATCTCCCTCCACCGTGCCACCACCACCACCACATCACAGACCTGGCAAGCCTGACATCACCACCTGATCGACAGTCGAAGGGTACTCGTCGATGAGAAAGGTTGTCGCAGCCGGCCAGTGCAAGCGAGCGTGCCGGTGACCTCCCGCCAGTCGCGACCGCGACCCATCCCCAGGTCGGCCCTCGGCGCCGTGCACATCAAGGTCACCGACTCAACGGCCGTGCTCAACTCCACGTCAGAGGTAGGTCAGCCCGTAGCTCGTTATGTTCAGCTAGGCGGGCGCCCCGCCGGACTGTCCTCTCCTGTCAACGTGCCGACTTTTTCTGACGCCGATCGCTTCCCCGCAGGCCATGGAGCAGCTGCCGGACGACGTGCTGGTGATGGCGATGCAGTTACTGGACGTGCCGGACCTCCTGGCCTGCCGCCTCGTGTCAAAGAGGCTCGGCGGCCTGGCCCTGGCTCGGGGACGCGCGCCGCGAGTGCGTGTGCCCGGTGTGCTGCGCCTGGCGCCGTGCCTCGCCGTGCTGCGCGCCTCCCTGCCGCCCACCAGCTGCCCCGCGGAGGCCTTCCCGGCCTCCAAGTGCGCCGTGACCACGGTGACCGAGCTCAAGATATATGCCCAGTGTACGACAGCGGCGTCTACCAGGCCGAGGCGCTGATCCGCCGTCAGGAGGAGCTCGGCCGGTGATTGTCCTGTTGGTCGCAGACCGTACTCGTAGGAGTTCGTGAGCTGCTCCTTGCTATCTCGTTGGCTCAAGCGACAGCAGGGTGGGGCGGGCGGCAGTGGCACTAGGCGGGCGAGTAGCGAGGAGCGGGGTCTGCTTGGTCCCGTCGCCGGTCGCCCACCGCGCGCCCGCGAAATGTTGCATATATAGGCAAAC